TGTAAAGTAATGCTTTCACTATTATAAACCTTCAACAAAAATGAAGGCAAAAGTAATATAAGTGGCTTGAACACCTTTAGTTCTGCCACACAAGAAAGTATTTTACAATACACATGAACCCTATATATATTGTTTTTAAAAGGAGGCAATCGATTGTACTTCATCTAATTGCAACAATCTTGCGAAAACCCCAACTAGTGGCGCTGTATTATATGTGCAGGCCTCAGTCTGCATATAATTATCTCTTTGATCCATGAAATTATCTTGACAATCAGGTCCCCCAACCAATGCCCCAACCAGCACATTCGGATTCGGCTCGACCCGACCATACCAATTGTCATAGCCTTGGGTGCACCCAAGGAACCCTTTATTTTCTCTGTATGACAGTATGGAGGCCCCTCTGTGGTGCACCCTTGTGGGGTACTTGGAACCATAACCCACTAAATAACTCGTCTTCATTGGGTTAGACCCTAGTATGTAATCTACTTGAGATTTGGCAAAATTGAGGATCTCTTCATGATCCACCGTCCCAGAAGGGCATCGGAGGTGTTCGTTTGAGTTGCGGAGGAAGTCGGAGTAGACGGTGAGAAGGAACACCGCCGTCGACACGTATTGCATGTTGTTCCATTGCCGTGTGTATAAAAGACCTCCCGGGGTACGTTCGACGTTGTGATTGGTGGCGTTGTTTTTGTTGAGACATGAGCATAGGTAGTAGTCGGCTTTGGATCGGTATTGTTTCAGAATGTGAGCCTCGTGCTCTTGTTTTGCTTTCTTCAACAACTGCAAAAGGACATTCCATTATAAACACATAGGATTTACTTCAATATGTATATAAAGTATTCTAAATGCTTTCTCTATATATGAAAAATATTATTTGAAAATTAAATATAGTCGTAAACAAATGAAAAATGGCATCAACTCAGTAGAATTGGCAGTGGGACCTAGACGTGTGGTCAATATAGCAGGCCCTACCTTAAAAAGCACAGACAACCCATCACCATACCTCATCTCTCCTATCTATCTATATATTTATCTCCTCTAATTGTGGAGCACATACAATTTGCTACTCAGCACATGAAATTGCTGCTCTTTTTCCACTACATTGAAGACACGTGGCACTAATCTGCTATCACTGATATTAAAATAATTTTAAAACTTGAAATAGAGTATGATGTAAATATATATATATAATAAAATTTGATTTAAGAGTCAATTCTATTTATATAAAATTTTCAATTTTATACTGATTCAAACGTTTATTTATATTTATATAATAATTTTAAATTAATGTAAAATTAAACAATTTTAAATAAGTGAATTTTATTCTTTTAAAATTTTAACATGTCATATAAATGATTAATATCAATTTTATAAAATACATAAGGCTAAGATTTACGTTATCAGAGGCACATGTATCGGATCATACTTAAATGTGAAGATGGTACCTTAATTAGGGGTTACTTACTCACTTTGGTGTAAGAAGGTGGAAAGTGAGAGTATTATTGGATGTTAGAATGAAGGCAAAAGCAAAATCCCATGAGGATTTGGGGGTCTCTTTCGTCCACTAAATTAGATTGAAAAAGCCATAAAGAAAAGCAAAAACATTAGGGGTTAAATTATTATCCGACCTTTTTTAAAAAAAAAAATAACTTTCAAATCACGCGAATAGAAATATTAAATTTGAAAATAAAAATGGACTAAAATTTTAAGTTTTTGAGAAGTTCAAGATCTAAGAGAATAATTCAACCCATCTTGTTTTCTTTTATCAAATTAACTTTTTATCAAATGCATAATGTTATTCTTGAACTATGATTTTATACGATTGTATATATGAAATTTTAATTATATTCAATTTCTACAAATTGTTATAGCAATTATCAACATAACATCATTTTATGTTTATGTATACCCAAATAAATATGTTTATTCAATACAAAAATAGATAAATGTATTTACTTTTTAAAACGTGTATAATTGAATTAAAATAAAAATTTTACATGTTCATTATATAGTTTTGATATATATACCTTTTAATTATGAAATGATAAATTTCATATAAAAAGGAAATGAACATTAACCCCAACACCACCGCCTCCCCCTCCAACAAAAAAAGGCAAAGGCATGTTGTATAAAAAAGGGGTAAACTACATATTTAAACATCCATCTATTCTTGTAATTCTGTTTTGGTCATCATAAGATAATGTCTCATTATCATTAGAAATAAATCATTTCAGCAGTTTTATTTACTTTTAACTATGGGTAATCAAAATAGAGAGTTATGTATGATTTAAAAAAGAATAGTTAGGGTATCAAAATAAAACTGCTGGAATAAATTGATGACTAAACATGTAGTTTACCCAAGAAAATAAGGAAAGTTGAAAGGGAGGAGATAAATTACCTTTGATGCCAAAACTTGAAGCCCGGCATATTTAACATCCCAGCTGAACTCTGATATGGCCCAACCAATCCCACCAAAACAATGAGCCTTGCTAATCACATACTTGAAGTAATCCTCCTTGTCGGTGGCCTCGTACAACCACAACGCTGCCCACAACAACTCATCCATGAACCCACTCACCGACGCATAGTACCTCTTCACCACCCCCACACTCCCGTCATATTTCCCTCTATACTTGTGCCCAAACTCAAACAACTACACCAACAAAACAACAATTTCACCATCATCACATTAACATAATCATATTTTATAAGTTGCCAACACATGACCTTTGTAAAACTACCTCTTGGGCATGGTGCAAGAGTAACTGAGAGTAATGTGGGTTTGTTTTCCTGAACACAATCGAGGCCGCCGCCATTGCTGCTGCCGTCTCGCCTGCCAGATCCGACCCCGGGTTGTTCTCGTCGATCTTGTACGCTCGGCGTGATGTGGTCATATCCTCTGGTCGTTGCCAACAGTAATGGTCGGTGTCCCCATCACCCACCTAATGGCAACAGCAAACAAACAAACGTTATGTGTTTGAGATTTTATAATTATGAAACTTACGCAGTTAAATGTTTGGGAAATGGAATTACCTCCGCCCAGAGTACATTTGGGCTGGTGTGTGCCTTAATGAAGTAATCTGTCCCCCATTTAATGGCCTCTAAAGCATGCTCTAGTTCGCCGGCATTGGCGATCTGATCTCGGAATTCGATGACACCCCACGACAGCATTGTCACTGTGAAAGCCATCGGAAGGCCGAATTTGACATGATCGCCGGCGTCGTAGTATCCTCCGACTAAGTCCACCTACAACAGTTTAAGTTAGGCAAACCAAAACATTTCAATGAGTTTAGGGAATCAGGGTCTGGGCCATACTCCTTGTTCCAAGCCGTCGGTGAGGCCAGAATGGTCTCGCCAAGTGACGCGTTGGTTATAAGGTAACCGGCCGGATCGTTGGGCTTCAAAGTAGAGGAGGCTCTTCGTCAATGCATCGCCGTAATCAAACGCTTGAGCTGTTGCAAGGGAAACGATGAAAACAGAGAATAGAAAAAGGCAACAATGGCGGGCAAATCTGGGGATTTGTCGATGATTCTGCTCCTCCATTGTCCTTTTCTCTCTTTAGGGGAAAATATTTCAGCACACACCCTTTGGCTTTTGCCCTCTTCCTTTGAAATGTCTTTTTATAATACGGGTCGAGCTAAGTGAGTCAGTGAGTGATTTTCATGGGCATGTGAGCGGTCTCTTTACAATCAAAAGCGTGATTTAAGCAATGGTTTGTGGTAGTGTACAAAGTTTGAACCGGAGTGGACTAGTGTGGGAGAAACGGAAAACATGGGAAAGTCATCTGGAAGTGAGATTTGGCGGAAATTTTGACCTCACCATGTATTATTTTATTATTTTTCTTAATCTCACATAAGTTTGTGGGAATTTGTTTAGTATTTTTTTATTAGTTTTGAGAGGAGTATTTATTGAAATATTCTTAATCATTTAAAAATAAATATTCAAATACTCCTACAAATATTATACTTGAACTTATGATCTCTAAAAATGATTATCATTATTTTAATTACTGAAATCACTTGATTCGTACGTATAAAATCATTTTAATGTAAAAAGACAGTTGTTTGAATAGTTTAATGCTTTGAGCGTTACATAAAATTTACATCTCCCTTCCCTATGAGAGTGAAGGAGTTGTGAGATTCATGGGGGACAGTGCTCATAATAAGGGGACTGATGATATTAATAATAATAATAATAATAATAAAAAAGAATGAAGGAAAAAAAAAGCTGCCGACGGAGTTTTGAGGGTATGGAAGCTTCACACTCTCTGCTCTTTCACTGCCCCAGTGTCTTCTTTCGTTTGTGGTCACCATACAAACACAATCCCCGTCGCATAATGGCAACAGTTTTTGTTTGATGATTCGGTAGATCAAAATAAGGGTCAATTATTAACTTTTACCACTCAATGTTTTCTTTATTTTTATTTTGATCATTAAAATTAAAATTTTTTAATTTAATATTTTATTTTAAATTACTCATTTTTTAATTACCTCACCGTTAAATCATCTAAATTTAATGATATAACCCACCAACCTTACAGTCAAATTATAAAGTTCAAATATTTATTAATATTTTATTATAACATGAATTATTTTATAAGATCTAAAGTATAAAGTATAAAAAAAATTTAAAATTTAAAATCCCCACCGACCTCGCCTTCAACTAAGCACTACTATTTGCTTCCGATGCTTTCTTTATAAATTGCTTTAGTGGCTTAAGATTTCGCCTCAACTTTTCTAGTATAATGTAAGAATTAACGTTCAACGTTTATCAAAATAGTCATTTTGATGTTTAGTCTTTTTTTCATAGTACTTCTGCTTCCAATATGGAGGGTCCATCCTAATGGTTTTTTAAAATAAATGTAAAGATGTCTAAAAGGAGAAAGCTGGGTTCACCACTACATTAGGAATGATCATCAAATCCAATTAACTTAAAACTGAACATAATATTTATGATAAACACACCATCAGAAATAGGTTTGTAAGTTAAGAGCAGCAACTTTAGGCCTCAGATTTGTTATGTTCATTGTCGTCAGATAGAATATCAGACAATGTAGGCAATTCTTAATCATCATAAGCCTCTGAAACCACAGATTCATTAAACTCTAAAAAACAAAGCCATAGTAAATAGGACCTCAGAAGTCAATTTGACATTAATATAATGGAATGATTCAGTTGGTAATTCCAATAATAAAATAATAAATCATTATTGCCTGCAAAAATCCAATCTCTGCTACCGCATATAAAATGGATTGAAAAAGAAAATGTAATCGCCGAAAACGGCTCTGTAGATCACCAAAGTTATGATCCACAGGTTCCTATCAGAAAGCGAAACATGAGGTTTATTTCGGTCCAATCATGGCATCTCCGGTCACTGATTTCTCGTTTTTCTGCTACCGGCGACGTGCATCGGACCCAACACAATGGTTACAAATTAAAAAGGGTAAAGTATAGCAAAGGTAAATATATAGTCTATATTATACTCATTTTTTCGTGTGATTAAACTATTAAAAACTACAAAATAATTAAATTTATCAAATTATTATAAAATAATTATTAAATTTATCAAATTGTTACAAAAGATTATTATATCTATCAAACTTTATTAGTATTCTTATTACAATCTTACAGTGACTATTGGCATTTGCATGTAACAAAAGTATTAAACCGTTTCTCTAAACCCTATGACAAAGTTTCATTTACGATTCAATTAACAAAGTAAATTCGTTTTAGCATTCTATGTTTGGCTAGGCGGTATACTAAACTGTTGACGTCTATCTTCTCTCCTTCTGCTGCCATTGTTTGCATCTCCTCGTTACGTTAGACTGTTTTATCAATGGCCATTCGGTTCATCTATTATTTTCACTCATTCCCCACGCATAACAATCATCTCCCCAATGTATATATATATATATTGCCTCTACGAACTAAGCTCAACCTCAAGTTCATCGTTTTACTTACATTTTCATTTTGCCTACAATGTGTACGACATGTTCAAAGACCATTTGGTTGAGCCCCAGTGCTGCCCTCTAATCTAAATGAGGTCCTAGCTTTCCCTCTCTGCTTTTCCTACTGCCAGCCAGACATCACCCTGATTCATCTAAGTAGTTCTACTATCTTGTATCTTCTTCCTTTCCTACACGTTTTCTGATTTAAAAATGCATATATTTCTATTTAACATGTACCTGTTTCAGTCATCCATGCTCGACTTGAAGTAACATAGCCTTATAACATATGCTCAAGGTGACTTCTTACCTCATTTAGTGTTGTCCTTGTAGCAATACATTTGCTTTTGTTTCTCCTGTGGAAGTTTCAAGCAATTTTGTCAGCTCTTGATATGTAGCCTGTATGCATCTCTTTGCTTTCCCTACATCCATTGCAGTTTTTAGAAGACACGTCTCGAGCTTCTCAGTTTGACAGAGTGCATCCTTAATACGATAAGCTGCTTCATGGACTGACTGGAGATGATAACTTCCAGTGCCTGTAATGGCAGTAAATGCTTCTGCATTGATGCCAGATATATCATTTAAACATTTCCCTGTATTTGTTGGGATGGAATGCACAGCGTGATTGCCGTTATCTGGGAGAGTTGTCCCCATTCTTGCAACTATAGATATACCCTGAATAGATTCCACCAGGCGCTCTACAAAAGGTCTGCATTCATTCAATGGACCAACTGAAGCGTCAAAAGTATCATTTACTGCCGGTAACATAGCATTGTGATCGGGCGGCTCGATTGACTCCAAATAAATGAGCTGGTCTTTCTGAAGATTCCTTCCAACTTCATTCACGATTGTACTTGTTACACCTTCCTCCTCCATAGCAGTGAATGCTTTTTCGAGATTTGAAGTCCCCAAAGAAACACCCAATGGTTTTGTACCATTTCCTAGAGCACTTTGTGGTACTTCATTAACTTCAGCATCTGCAGAAAAATGAAATGTTATACTCGATCTTCCACTAGCAGAAATATCTCAGAAACTAATATCGGATCAAATAAGACATATATATCTGTTGAAGAAGCTAAAGTAGAGTTATGACTTGAGATTTGGAGGAAACAAATATATGTATGTTGTTCCAACTCTTTATGTATCCATGTTGAACACCCATATCTGGTTTGGACACCGAGAATACTATCCCTCTAAGAACATTCCCAATATATGAAAATGGCAGAACAACTATAATGAATAACATCATAAAGCAAGGGACAAGAAGGAAAAAAGATAGTGCAAGAGATACGTACATCCCTTTCCAGCAGCAGATTTCTGGCAAGTCTTAATATTCGGTAGGCCACAATGCTGGGGACTCAATATTGGTGGCCTTTTGCCTATCTTAGTAGACCTTGGCCATGAATTCGGCGGACTTGGAGGAGTATCGAGCAGCAAGAAACCACAGGCTCCATGTCCCTATGTAAAGAATACCATTTATGAGTGATAAAATCCGTATCCATCATTCGTACCTTAACCCATGATTGGAATAATCATACAGTAGTTTAATCGTTTGTATAATCATAAGGGGGGAAAGAAATATAATCCAAGAACAAAGAAACAAAATCTGCACTCGAATTTCATAATTTATGTTCATCCAGTGGACCCAGTTTTTGTTTAAAGATGCTTTTGCTATAAAGTTGAGAACTTTAACAAAATTATAAACCCAAACCTTGGAAAGAGAGAACAGAACAGCATACCGTTCTAATTCGGCAAGTATAGTACTTGGTTTCCTTCCCGTTATCGTCTCTCCGGATATTGACGGTGCAGGCTCCGGCGCCACATTCACACATGGGTGCCTTGACATCATCGCACCATTTGTAGAAACTTCTGCCTTGGGTGAAATTGCCGCATTTTCAGTTACGAGAATAGTACCTTCTTCCATAGTTGGCGATGCTGTGGGCAAGACAAACGGTGTAAGCCACACCGCAGTGGCAGCGCAGCACCGGCAGGAGGTGGGTGTCGACTGGAGGAGGCGACGAGAATGAAGCTTTCGCCGTTCGGTCGTTGGAAGGGCAATCTGATGCCCAGTGACCTGGCTTTCCGCAAGTATAGCATGCGCCTTTCTGCTTTCTCTCGGCCAAACTTTGTCTCCCAGGTTGATTGGCCGCCATTTATTTTTTGGGGGTTTTCTTCTTCAAACAAAACACTGTTATTCAGTACATGAGAAAAAAAATGATATTTAACTTTTCTATATTAAAAAATAATATTTATCTTAAATATATAAGATAAATATACATTTTATCAGCAATAAAGATGTATTTTATTAAAAGACTTAATATAAAAAATTATTTAAACTATATATTTTTCTCATTTAGTTGTTTAAACTTTATTTCGGTTGATTTAGGTGTTTAATATTTTCAACGTAATCGTTTTGGTACCTCAGTTGTAATAGATGTTAAAAAATTTCCGTTAACCACTCAAAATACGACAATGACATGTTTATAAATTTTTAAATTTTTATTTAAAAAACTTAAAATTATTATTATTTTAAAAAAAACTTAAAATATTTGTAAAATCCTCTATCAAATAAGTATTATTTCAATAAGTAGTTTTACAAGGGTGTTATTATTTTAATAAATAATTATATATATATATATATATATATATATATATATATATATATATATGGGTACAATAAAAGAAATGATGGAAACTTATTTCTTATGTGTTTCTAAACAAAGTTTTTCTTAAAAAAGGAGAAGAAGAAGGGTGAAGACAAATCTTTTAAGTTTTTATTGTTTAAAGAAGTGAAGCAGTTATAAGTTAAAAAATGAAAACAATGACGAGAATCTTGGAAAGTTTAGCGGTTTGAACTTGACAACCTGTTTTGTATGTAGCAATGGCCATCCACCACTCCTCTCCTTGAGTTGTCGTTATCACGTTGTTATGTTAGGAGAGTCTCCACCACCACTATCTTAAAAATCCCACATGGAATCATAATTTTCCGACGACAGCAAAGAAGAAGATTATTGATCCTTAGCTTTTCAACAATGCCAAGCAAGTTCAGCAGAGCAATTCTTGCAGTGAGAAATCAAACATGCATCAGCCTCTCCCAGATTGTTAACACCAATTCCTCCAATCTCGATGCGGCGGTTCTCAAGGCCACCACTCGCCATCCCGAGCCTGCCGACCAACGTTACGTCGATGAAATCCTTCAGACCATCTCGTCCAACAAGCTCAACGCTGCCATTTGCGCCAACGCCATTGCTAAAAGGATTGGGAAAACAAATAACTGGGTTGTTGCCCTCAAATCTTTGATGCTCCTCCTTCGGATTTTTCAAGACGGTGACCCTTTTTTCCCTCAAGAAGTGGTGCACGCGAGGAGCCGTGGGGCGAAGATTCTGAACCTCACCACTTTCAAAGACAACTCCCATTCCAGCCCTTACGATTACACTGCTTTCGTGAGGGCGTTTGCGTTTTATCTCGATCAGCGTTTGGATTGCTTCATTACAGGGAAGCAGGTTCGACGAAGCCGCCGAGTTAACCAACAACCTGTCCAAGAAATGAAGCCGATGATGTTGCTTGATAGGCTTTCGTATTGGCAACGGTTGCTCGATCAAGCCATTGCCACGAAGCCAACGGCTGCGGCCAAGAACAACCGGCTGGTTCAGTTTTCTCTTAAAGCCATCGTCCGGGAAAGCTTCGATCTTTATCGGGACATCTCCGATGGACTCGGTCTTCTGTTAAATAGTTTCTTCCATTTGCAGCATCAATCGCGCATCAATGCATTTCAATACTGTGTCAAAGCAACGAGACAGTTCGAACAGCTTTCCTCCTTTTATGATTATTGTAAGGATCTTGGAATCGGGAAAATTTCGGAGTATCCTAGAGTGCAACAGATATCCGATGAGTTAATGGAGACATTGCGAGAATTCTTGAAAGACCAAGCTTCGTTACCCTCTCAACATGGTTCGGAATGCATGTCATTGGAAGATTTGATGTATCAAACAGAATGTGATGAACCGATAAGTCCGTCTTTCTTGCCGGGGCATTATTCGGAGGTGGCCGAGGAACAGTGCAATGAACAAGAAGATATGTATAATGTTCATGAAACCGGTTCGAACCATTCATTGCCTATTCAGACTAGTGTGACTATAGATTTTGGATCGTTCGATGATTGGCTGATGGGTGATATTAAATCCCAAGTGCTACAGAGTTCAGCAATGGTGGATTCCACTAATGGTGGTGACTCTTTGTTTGACAACTCGGTTCAACAAGATCATAAACAAGAACAAGGTTTTGAAAATGGAGCTAATGGTCTTTCCCTTCTCGGCAACTGGGTCGAAGAATACCAAAGCAAAGAAGCTTCTCAAAATGGAGCCAAGGGTCATTCATTTGTCAATGATAATCTTCAAGGAAATGAACTGCATGAGCAAGATCATCTCAATGTAACCAAGGGCCATTCGTATTTCGATGACTATCAATTTGTAGGAAATGGCCACTCCTTGTTCGTCGACGATTGGCTCCGGGATGATAGAAAGGATCCCGAAGAACAGCAGCGAACTTCGGCACTGAATTCGAGCAATGATGGTTGCAAGGAAGGATGGGAGCTTGTGTTAGCAGAAGCCACACCACAACCTGCACAAACTTCTCAACATTTAGCCTATGGAATTGAGCCCTCTATGGCTATTGTTCTATTTGATCGAAGGCCAATAGTACCACAACGCGCATTCAATCCATTTCTTGAAGATGAAGCAGATTTATCACCATACATTGCAACCACTGCTATCAATACCACTATAGCTTTTCCTGTTGAGTTCTCAATGGCACCGACATTTCAGGCAGCGCCACCAACTTTCTCCATTCAAGATCCTAACAAAATGGCCAGACCGACATTTCAGGCCACACAGACTTCTCTCTCTGAGGATAATTATAGAACGACAGTAGCGTTTCAAGATAACGTAAGTGACGACGATGACCCTTTCGCCCCATGGCCTACCATGAAAGAAAGCAATAATGCTTCTTTTAATGGGTCAGATGATCAGGAAAATCTGTTACTTCAACAAGAGCTGTGGCTGCAGAACCAAAACAAGATTCTGAATAAAGCTGCGTATTCGTTCTGTAAATAACGTTGTACAACAATTTTACTACACTTGGCAGTTTATCCAATCAGTTATTTTTTCCGTTGGCCAAGATATTCAAATCCAACATAGAAAGAACTCATTTAAGCATTTCTTTTGTCCTCATAGTGAGGCAATATCTAGTGAGTATGGACCAGCTATGGCTGTTTTCTGGGTAGACTGATCCAATTACAGAGTTCACATGAACATATACATTTCAATGGTAGATGGCTTTTCTAATTACTTCTTGGTACACCCATCAATTCTGATCCAACCCATAATTTTGACCCCTCAACCTAAATTTGATCCAATCTTGTTTGATTGTAAAAGTCAACAATCTGAAATACAAATTCGAAAGTAGTCCATCCGTAAAACTGGTTTTGGGCTCAAGTTATCTGCAAACAGAGCTGCGTTTAAGTAGTCCATATCTCCCTATTAGCGTTTGTTGCCTCCCTTTTGTGAACACTCCCTAGGACCTCAATACTGACCAGCGGAGCAGAGAATAGACTCCAGAAACGCAAGCGTAGAAGAAGACGAAGAAGAAGCGAAAGCAAATGGTGAACAAAGCATGGAAGATCATTCCAAGACCTTTACTCGAAACAGTCCTCGAAGCAGTGTGTGGATCAATGTACCATGACAGTTTGATTTGGAGAATAATTGCTCTAGGAGCAAATGAGCGATGCCTGCCTGCTATACTTGTGACATCAGATAGGTTAAGACATCAAGCCCTGTTCTAAGCTTATTGTTGTTTGTTTGATGCTAGAACACGAGAAACATGTAAAATCTTCATTATTACAGCTTATAAACTGAACCAGAACCAGAACTTGACTCAACTAATTTGTATGTACATTTGCTACAAGCGACAACTTTTGATGCGTTAAAAGGTGAGTATTTATTTATTTTTAATGAGAACATTCTGATGTGTCCTGTTGTCTGTAAGCTCATCTTTCCTTGAAAATGGCAACTTGGGATAATCCTGATTCTTGTATGTTGCTAAGATATAGTATCTATTTAAATCCTGAACCATTTTTTGTGAAAACTTACCTGTATTTGCTTGTAGTTTGTTTAGTTTCTTTCCTTTATGGAAGTGAATTGCAGGTATTGGAACCGGGGAAGTTGATCTCTGGTCTTCATCCATCCAACTGTGCGTAGTAACCAATAAAAGTGCGCTTTTATTTTTATGACATGTCTGCATGTTAGTCTATAGTAACACACCGAAACCCCATTTGTTTTTTATTTTTCAATCATAAGCAAAGATTTGTAAACTCATGGTTTTTGAAAGAAAAAAAAATTCAATCTAACGATACTCATTAACCTTGTTGAGTATCTATGTCTCTACCTCTTTTAACGACTATTTTTATTCTCATCACATCTTACTCTTTAATTCTCTTTAAAGTGATTTTTTAAAAAAAAATATTTCAAAATATAGTCTTATACCTTAATTTAATTAAGGTCATTGTCTATTTTTTTCCTTTTCCTTTTTCGCTTAATTTTCGTCTAATTACATTTAAATAATCATCATCCTCATTTTAATTACGCCATATCCTTTATCAAATATTGACGACAATTGATTTGATTGACATCATTTAAATGATTCGGTTGTGTCGGAACCGTCTTTCGGTTGGGCCCCGGAATTGGGCTTCGACTTGAAAAATATGGATTAAACGAATTGGAGTCGCCACCGACCATTTAAAACGAATTTAGGTAGGTCGGATACCATCTTACCTGATCTACGTTGTACCCGAAATATGTTGGGCTCGGGAGTCGGTTACGGTCAAGGAAGGATTAGCACCCTTGAACCGCCCTTTCGGTACCAATTAATTCACCGATTGTCTTTAATAGCGAAAATAAAAAAAAAATTAAATTAGAATTTAAATACTCGATCGAATTGTTTACCTTTGACCGATTTAAAGGACCACTGAAAATGTTAAAGAAAATGTTAGATGATAAAAAAGATATTAAATAAATCAAAATAATAATAATAATAATAATACTAATAATAATAAAAGTAAATAATATAAAAAACAATAAATCAAAGAAATTAAATTAAAATTAAATAAATAATAAATAAATACTAAATAAATAAGAAAAAATATTATTTTAAAAGTAATAAAATGGAAACAGTATGAAGTAAGAAAGAAAATAAAAAGAATAATAATTAGCAAGCATGATAATAAAAAAGGGTCAGAATTTAGGGGGTCAAATTGCAAAAATGTAAAGTTTAAACAGGGACCGAATTGAAACAATTGAAAATCCTGTGGCCGAATTGCATATGGTGACTGAAATGGATTGCGACTCAAACTTACAGGGATCGCGGAAAGGATTTAACTATCCTGTAATTACACGGTAGTCCCTGGTATATATATATCCAAACCCGCCTATTTTCGTTTCATTCTCAACATTTCCTCCTCTCTCTCTCAGATTGAGAGAAAAGAAATTCTCTCTTCACTCTCTAAGGCTCTTTCGCCGGAGCTACCGTCGGCCACCACTACTCGCCGTCCCAGCCGCTGCTCGCGGCGGCCGAGAAGAACACACTCAGCAAAACACTCCCCTCACCAACCTTAACAAAAATCCGAAGCCAAAATCCCCCAAGAAACCCACTGAACGGAGTAGATCTAGGTTTGAAGTTCCGATTTTTTACCCCTTTTCTTCGTTGACCCTTGGATTTCCGATGCTTCTCCTCCGGTGCCGTTCTTCGCTCCTATCGTTGAGAGAAAGGCCTCGGCTTTTCTCGTTTTTGTTGGTATTTGGGGCGATTTTTGTATGATATACTCGTGTTGATTTTTTCTCAGTTTACTGTGGGTACTGTCGTATTTTGGTTCTATGTGGTTTTGATTTACTGACTGTATATCTCTGTTGATCGATGATACTTGGTTGATGGTTCTCTGTGGTTGTCTCTTTGGTGTACTGTTCTCGTAATGGTACTGTGTTTGGTTTTGTTTTTTGGCAGTATGGGTTAATGGTTCGGTTTGTTCGACCGTGGTGGTCTATTTCACTGTGTTCTCAGTTTTTGGTTGTGATGCCTCGTGGGTTCTCTCTCGGTTCTGGGTTCTCCCCAGATCCCCCCGTCGCCCGTGGGTTTTTATAACCCCCACTGGCCGTTGTGAGTCCCGACGATCTCGGGATCGTGGTTGTTGTGGCCGGTCATCCCGGGATGGGTCAGTCCCGGGGATCTCGGCCGGCCGTTGGCACTGTTGACCGTTTGGCTCCCTGACTGCTTGGTGACTAAAAACTGGGAACCCTAATCTCTTGCCGGGCTAGTTCAGGCCCAAACTTGGACTGGATTCTTGAACCTGGACCCTGCACAAAAAATAAATGAGAAATAAATAAATTAAAAGTAAAAAATAAATAATAATAATATATATATAAACGTTTTCAAAAACATATAATATATAAATTTTTAAAATGTTTTTTTAAAAAAAACTATATATTATATATATTTTCAAAATGGTTTTTAAAAATTATATATATAAATGTTTTCATAACGTTTTCAAAAGTATATATATATATTTTAAAACGTTTTCAAAAACTATATTATATAATTTTCAAAAAAATATATTTTCAAAATGGTTTTTAAAAATTATATTATATAAGTGTTTTCATAACGTTTTCAAAAGTATATATTATATATATTTTAAAAACGTTTTCAAAAACTATATAATATATAATTTTCAAAAAATATTTTAAAAACTATATAATATACATATTTTCAAAAAATGTTTTAAACTATATATTATATATGTATTTTCAAAAACAATTTGCAAACTATATAATATATATGTGTATATATGTAAAAATAAAAAATGTGGATGGAAATTAGTGTCTACAGCTGCCCCTCTTTGTCCTTTTTCGTGGAACGAAAAATAGGACAAAGATAAAAAGACACAAATTTTCGTTCAGTGGGGTTGAAGAAAAACCCCCTGTCGGATTGAGCTGCGGATGATCCCTCCGTCGTGAAGTCAAGTCAATCTTGAAGTGATATGGAATTGAATCGGAATGCGACTTCTTGTTGCCCAATTGTAGTCAACCTCGGTCTTTTCCTCAGTTTAAGGACCTTGGTTAAAAATTCGGCTGGAAAATATTTCTTTGACTTCACCATCTGTTTTGACAAGCCCTCGAGCTGAATAAAATCGAACTCGAAAAGTCTTTGTTGACAAATAGCTTTTCTCGACTTAAGCTATGTTGCTGGAAAAAGATTTTTTATCACTGAGGCACAGTTAACCCAGATCTTCTTCTGGACTTGAAAATCTCGATTACAGCCGGACAGTAGTGTGATTGAGGTGTTATCGAGCTGATTAGAATCGAACTCGACAGTTTTATTGACAGATAGCCCTTCTTGCATTGAGCTATTCTGTAAGCCTGATTTGCCTCTAAGTTGAATATAATCGAACTCGAAGGTCTTTAGCAGATAGCCCTTCTCAACTTAAGCTATGCTGCAAATGATGTGCCTTGGAGCTGAGCGGATTCGAACTCAAAGGTCTTTGCTAACAGATAACCCTTCTAGCCTTGAGTTATGCTGTAAATGTTATGCCCTTGAAGCTGAGTGTAATCGAACTCGGGGGTCTTTGGCAGATAGCCCTTCTCGACTTAAGCTATGCTGCAAATGATGTGCCTTGGAGCTGAGCGTAGTCGAACTCAAAGGTCTTTGCTAACAGATAACCCTTCTAGCCTTGAGTTATGCTGTAAATGATGTGCCCTCGAAGCTGAGTGTAATCGAACTCGGGGGTCTTTGGCAGATAGCCCTTCTCGACTTAAGCTATTCTGCAAATGATGTGCCTAGGAGCTGAGCGTAGTCGAACTCAAAGGTCTTTGCTAACAGATAACCCTTCTAGCCTTGAGTTATGCTGTAAATGTTATGCCCTTGAAGCTGAGTGTAATCGAACTTAAGGGTCTTTGGCAGATAACCCTTCTCGACTTAAGCTATTCTGCAAATGATGTGCCTTGGAGCTGAGCGTAGTCGAACTCGAAGGTCTTGGTGGCAGGTAGCCCTTCTGGCCTTGAGCTAAGCT